AAAAAAAAACAAAAGTGTGAGTCAATCTTAAACTTGTTCTAATTTACCAAGAGTAAAGTGTTTCGCCAAATGTATCATAAATGTCTGTTCTGAAAGATTCTTTTAGATTTTAGTGGAATAGTAACAACGTACTTTAATTCTCCAGGCACTAATGAAATTTTTGAGGCTTTTATATTTATTATGTTTTTAAGCATTTCAGTTTATCTATCTCTTCTAACATTTCATGTACAACAACCAGCAATCTAAATGCAAATTCCTGTTAAAAATGAACCACTTCTAAGTGTTGCATAAAGGTACACATTATTTTTCATATCTATGTAGTTGGTAGACTATTCGCTTTTGGGTAATTTTATTAAAGAGGACCCTCCAAGCTTATGACTTTATAGTAGAATGAGATTACACGTGGTGAGTATATTTTAAAATATAGAACCATTGGGAAACAGTGTTTTTTTTTTCCCGTCTGCTTAAGTGAATAATCAAGCTAAAAGAGATTTGCTGTGCATGGATCATCAGTGTTCTAAGAATCACACTATAATAATCCTAAAACTAAGCAGTAGACTTCAAGCTTTGGTTTAGAAGACACTAAGAATCTTGCAGGAGTGCATCTCAGGATCTTCGTAATACCCAGTAGTAGTCATCATTCAGCACGGTACACGTATATGTTCCCATCTTAGTTGTGAGCTGCTATTGTCGATTGTTTATTTTGTGCTATGCCTGGTGCTAGCAGTTGGCTAAAGGCACAGCAGAGAGCACTTCAGACATGATGCTATCCCTCAAGGACTTTAAGAGGGAAAATACTGGAGATTGATAAGACCATACGACCATCTAACTTTTGGGGTACAATGATGTACCCTGAAAGTTGCTTTTAAAAACCTTGATCTCACCTTGTTTAAATTCTCATTTCTCATATAAAAGCACCACATATGCTATGAAAAAGTTGCCATAAACCAGTCATTTGTAGGAGCAGGTATTTATATATCACATGTACTATGTGACTTGTTTTGGCATTTGTGTGGGTTGAAATTTACTACAATAAAGTTGACATGCTTACAAGGGCTTTCACTATAATTTTCTAGGCTTTACCTTGTGGGGTTCAGAGTATTCGTGGAACTGGAATGCCATAGATGAGGGGCCCAAGAGGGACATTGTCAAGGAACTTGAGGTAACCATTAGGAACAGAACTGACCTGCGTTTTGGACTGTACTATTCCCTTTTTGAATGGTTTCATCCGCTCTTCCTTGAGGATGAATCCAGTTCATTCCATAAGCGGCAATTTCCAGTTTCTAAGACATTGCCAGAGCTCTATGAGCTAGTGAACACCTATCAGCCTGAGATACTGTGGTCGGATGGTGACGGAGGAGCACCGGATCAATACTGGAACAGCACAGGCTTCTTGGCCTGGCTATATAATGAAAGGTATGTATGCTATGAGATCGCTGCAGTTACTCTCCACATTCCTAATATATTTCCAATACTTTAATACCTTTGCTTCCTAAAATATTTCCTTTTAAGTCACTGGTGGTATGGCAGGAGAAAATCATTGTAAATAATACTTATTAGCTATATTACTATTTACTCAACATAATCAAGGGTAAACAAATCAGGAGTAAAATCGAACTCAATGGTCTGACTTTGAGATCAGACTAAAAATCACAGGACCAAGAACTGCGAAGGTGTTAACGTTGCGGATCCCCCCCTTTTCTCTCCTACTCTGGTCCTTGATGGCCTCTATTCTGGGACAACTCTGTTTATTCATCCCTATTTCTGATAATGTGCTTCTGAATCCCTCTGACTGTTTCTTTTTATCCTTTTACCTTTTGGTCATCTTTGCTGCCCGGTCAGCGTCACCCTTATCTGTCTCCTCTTTTCCTTTATCAGCAGCATTTTCACTTTCTCCAGTTTTTTCCTATTGCTTGCTGGTATGCTCAAGGCTGCCCTATTAGAACAGGGAGTTCTGATTAAACTATATGGACAAAATTTGCATGTACACTAGAAAACACTGGGTATTGTGCTACGAAGTCAGGAAGCCTTCTGCTTGCACCTTCTGGGCCCACACAGGGTACAGATACAAATATTCTGAAGAACCCTTGATACTTAAAACAGCAATGTGTCCAGGTACTCCTTCCAAGGGAAAAGACTGGGAGCCATCACTTCAATTTGTGATTCAAAACTGTCCTCTCTATGTGGTGCGGATTTCCCTCTAACTATACCACCTGCTATGATAAATAATGTTGTGGGGATATTTCAGATAACATCAACAAATTTTCTGAGGTTTTTCAATATTAGGCACAATTGTAAGAGAAAGAGAAAGTCTAGACTATATGTATGAGATCACTGAATCACTGGAAAGAAAAGTGTCTTGGGTATAAATTCAGTTTTGACTACGATTTACAATATGGAAGGGAGGTTAAAATAATCATATAATAATCTTATGAGTGCTATATGTGCTGGGTACTAGGCTAAATGTTTCACATAACTTATTTTTGTTCCAATCATAGATGAGGAAATTCATTATTCAGAGGAGCCAGGTAACTGGCTCTAGGTCTGGGAGGTAGAAAGTGACAAAGCCAGGACTCCAATTAACCCAGTTCTGTTTGACTTCAAAACCATCGGCTTTTCATTGTACTATGCCATGGTCCCTTGTTAGAAATGTATTTCAATTAGATATCTTTTTAGTGGCATTTCTTTTTGTATAAAATGTTTATACCTTTTGTTTTAAAAAATTGTATGTTTTATTTCAGCCCAGTTCGGGATACAGTAGTCACCAATGATCGTTGGGGAGCTGGTAGCATCTGTAAGCATGGTGGCTTCTATACCTGCAGTGATCGTTATAACCCAGGACATCTTTTGCCACATAAATGGGAAAACTGCATGACAATAGACAAGCTGTCCTGGGGCTACAGGAGGAATGCTGGAATCTCTGACTATCTTACAATTGAAGAATTGGTGAAGGTACAGTAAAATGTCTGGTGGCTATTAACGTAATATTCTTAATAGTGTGGTCATGTAGGAATATTTCTTATAATTTGTATAGCTCAGTGGCCTATCAATGTAGGACACTGTTCTATCCTGCATTTGTTCTGCTAAGCAGTGACTAAATATACATGTATAAATATATAAATGCAACATATTAACACATTAAAGATATAATTATTTATCTAAAAACCTTTATTCTTAATTTTTTAGCAACTTGTAGAAACGGTTTCATGTGGAGGAAATCTTTTGATGAATATTGGGCCCACGCTAGATGGCACCATTTCTGTAGTTTTTGAGGAGCGACTGAGGCAAATGGGGTCCTGGCTAAGAGTCAATGGAGAAGCTATTTATGAAACTCATACCTGGCGATCCCAGAATGACACTGTCACCTCAGATGTGTGGTAAGCCATTCTTGTTCCAAGTCTCTTTTATAAAGGGAGAGATTTAAAATTTATCAGACATACAAAGAAGAGTAGGATAAAAAGAAAAATTGGATTAATTCCTATTTATATAAAGCACTTTCCAAACTTTGCTTACTCTAATATAAAGAGAAGGGGAAGAATTTGCATGTTTTTGAACATTTATTGTTTACCAAATTGAGCTTACATCATCTCTGTGTATCTCCCAGTGGTGGACAAATTTTGGCTGAAAGTAGTCAGCTCTTAGAAAAATTGTAAGCCATTTAGACCAATAAAAAATGCTGAATGGTTAGTCTAAAACAAAGACTACTATTTATTTAGTTCTGTAAATTCTGACTTTTGCAGATGTTGCATCCCATGAAATTAGCAAACAAGAGGTACCCAATGGCAGAGAAAATGTTAGGTTAAAAATGATTCAAAATAGGGAGGATTCTGGGAAGATACTTCTCTCTGAGATTGGAAAGGTTCTGTGTGTCAATGAGTGTCTGAGTCAGACACAAATATGACAGTTTCTGATATGGTTTCATAACATACATATAATAAGAGTAGTAGCGGCAAAGTTCTAAAAATTCACCTTCGGTTGGCCCCTGATTACTGCCTGATTAAATAGAAATGAAAAGATTAGACTAAATGTTCTTCAATCTACTTGACTTATGACTTAAAACATTATCAACCCATTAATAAAATGAAGTAGGGCAATCTGGACAGAGCAAATAATTGTGGAATTTTAAAATGTTGATCTGGGAGAAGCCATAATAGAGCTCAATATCAATCTCTCATGTGATAGAGGATAGTGCAAATCTGGTTTTGGAATTTGCTTCTGTACTTATATTTGAATACGAGGGTATCTGATCTGGGACTTCATGGTCATTAACCATTATTCTATTGTGTTTATTTCAATAAATAAACATAAAAGCTAAATATTTAATGTGCATTATAAAGCTGCGAGTCTGGCTCCCACCAACTTCCCCGATGCTGAGTGGTCCTACTCTCCCTCCTTACCATAGGAGCCTTCTTCCCCATCAGGTTCATCGTGCCCACCTTCTTACCTACAGACTCCCAGGGGAACCCTTAAAATCCTTTGAGAGTGTAGCCCTGGATACCCATCCCTGTCCCCAGAACTACTCTTCACATAATTCTTACTGATTTTAATTTCTATTCACAGTTCTAATTATCTCCTGTCTTCTAGGGATCTCGTCCACTTGACCTTTGTTACCTGTTCCTTTGCATGACCAGTATACAAGGTCATGTTGGTAATAGAAAGTCGAACTTCCTACTCAACATTTCCACTTGGATGCATAGCATCTTAGACCTGTATGTCCACAACTGAAGTCCTGAGTTTTAAAATTTTGCTATAAACTGGCTCCACCCATGGTCTTCTCCATCTCAGTTAATGGCAGCTTCATCCTTTAGGTGGCTGTCAGGCCCAAAACCTTGAAGCCCTTCGTTTCCCTTTCTTTTACAGTCACAGCCAACCCATCAGCAGATATCATCCTCTTTATCTTGGAAATATATTCAGAATCTGACCACTTTGCATCCTCTCTGTGGCAACCCTCATCCTTTTAGTTTCCATTGTCTTGCCCCTGTCTGGATTATTTTAGTAGCTTCTTAACAGGTTTCTATTTCTACCCGTTAACCTATTCACCACAAAGCGATCAGAGTAAACTTTTAAAGAATAATGCCACTTCCATGCTCACATTTCTCCAGTGGCCTCCAGTCTCAGAGAAAAGGCCGGGTCCCATAGATGCTTACAAGGGCTTATCAAACCTGGCTCCTAATCGCCTTTCTGATCTTATCTGCTGTCACCCTCTCCTATTTCCTTTCCTTCAGCCACTCTGCCTTCCTTGCTGTTGCATCAACAGGCTAAGCACAGTCTTGCACTGGGGCTCCTGTACTTGCCATTCTGGCTGGAATGCTTTCTCCAGACGCTCCTGTGGACCTCCCATGGTGCTCCCATGGCTCTCTTCCATGCCACATTTAAGAGGTCTTCCCTGACTATTCCACTTAAAATAACACACCCAGGCCCCTCTGTTCGTACTTAGCATGCCCTGTCCTTCTTACCTGGCTTGTTTTCTCCATAGTATTTAATCATCACCTGCGTATTTGTTCACTCTAATTTCTCCCACTAGAATGTAAGCCCCATGAGGACAAGGACTTTGTTCAATGTTGCAAATAGCTCTAAAACACTGTCTAGCATTTTAAGATTTCAGTAAGTATTTGTTAAGTAGTTGAATGAATACATGAATGAATTCCATTTTCTTTGTCTAAGGCATACTTCTCTTACCTTCTTTGTTCTCATTCATCCTCTAAGTCTCAGATTAAATGTCATGTTCTTGGAGAGGCTTCTTTCTGATGTTCTAATCTAAAGAGATCCTTTTGTCACAATCTCTTAATTTCCTTTTCTTTCATAGTGCTTATCAGAACTCACACTTTCATATTATTTGTGTGATTTTTTAGTGTCTGCCTTTACTGTCTGCCCACTCTAGTCTAAGTTCCATAAGCACAAGAACTATGTGTGTTTTGTTTTCTACTGTAACTCTTAACACTGAGCACAGTACTAGGCACAGAATGGACACATGCATTTCCTGTCTTGTTGAATGAATGAATGAATAAAAACATTTGAACAACACATGAAAAGCCATGAAGCTCTTGCATCCTACCTCATCCCCCTCTCCTTTTCAGCTCCACAAGAGCAGTCTGATGAAAAGGAATGCTAGTCCAAGAAAATCTTTGTCTTTCAAGAACTTCCTTTTGGTCTTGTGGGAGGAAGGTGCTTTTTATACTAGTATGGGGCTATTTTTCCTTCCCTTCTATTAATGGCAACATTGGTAAATAGGTGCTAAATAGAAGTATCTCTGTAAAATAATTCCAGATTGTTCCTGATCCACAAATAATGAGAAATATGGGATGTAACTTCTTACTATGCTTTTTATTTTTTCTTTTAACCAGGTACACATCCAAGCCTAAAGAAAAATTGGTCTATGCCATTTTTCTTAAATGGCCCATATCAGGACAGCTGTTCCTTGGCCAGCCCAAAGCTATTCTAGGGGCAACACAGGTAAGAGGGAATTTTACCTTTTTCCTTTAAATTGCTGATTAGAACACCTTGATGCAAACATAACTTTTAACTTTAAGGGGAGCCTTACGTCTGTTCCTCTTACACCTCATAAATGGAATTTCAAAATGAGCTCCAGCCAAGTGTTGTACTCACACTGTAATTCCAGCACTTTGGGAGGCTGAGGCAGGAGGATGTCTTGAGGCCAGGAGTCTGAGGCTAGCCTGGGCAATATAGCGAGACCCATCTCTACAGAAATTTTTTTAAAGGTTAGCTGAGTATGGTGGCACACACCTGTAGTCCTAGCTGCTCAGGAGGCTGAGGCAGGAGGATTGCCTGAGGTCAAGACTACAGTGAGCTATGATTGCACCACTTCACATCAGTCTGTCTCTGGAAAAAATAAAACAAAACAATAAAATCAAATCAAATGAATTTCACCAATGATAGTGTTTAGTCAAAACCTTTGAAACTTTCGGTTTCCCAGAAAACTAAGCTGATGAAACAGCTACAATATCTCTATGCATGACACTGTAAAATAGACATTATTCTTCACAGTCATTCTATGTTGTTTAAGTTCATTGCATGTATCCAAAATGATTCTTCTCACAAAACTAGAATTTAGATACTTTCCCTGACACCCTGCTCCAGAACATATCTAAATACAAGATGTCATGACTCTACTATTTTATGTTTATAAAACATGTTGGAGAAAGTTAGAGATTAATTTAACTGTTGTAACCACCAGATCTGGCATTGAGTTCATGCTGATATATTTTATAGCTTATTTTTAAAAATACGTTATCCCTTTGGAGGGTAATTGTCCATATGGTTCTCCTTGCATCACCTTTCTGCGTTTCATTTCTAATACGTGTGGTTGATGAGGCAGAAACAAGATGAGTTCAAGTCTAATGCTTAATTATAGCTTAGTAGCCCAGGTATGACACTGATTATATTTTTATTTTATTTATGTTCTTTTTGGTGCCAATTAACATCATTATTTAAAAGCTCATGTGTTTTATTTTTGAATTGATCCACCTGAGAAGCAAAATTTTTGGCTCAAAATAACCCTAGAATATGTAGAGAACTTATTTGAATTTGCTTAGTATACTAAGACTAAGGATATAAAACAATTACAACAACAACTGATCAAATTTATGTATTATTGATAGTGGAAGTTATTAGAAAATCTGGGGGAGGAACACTGACTAGATAAGCCTTACTTGGGCAGACTGGTTTCAGAGTCATTTTCTGCTCCTGATCCTCTCTTCAGCATTTTCTCCACTCTTGACACTCCATTCAGCCTTTAAAATTCTCCTCCCTCAACCCCTGAACACTCTTATTTACCTCTTGAGAGTAAAACAGAAGCAAGAATATAGAGGCAAGATACATATACTCAAATTAGATGAACAGTGATTGTGAATCACTAAATAAAGGTAAAAATGAATCTCTGGCCTCAGTTCTTTTTTTCAGAATTACTAATCACTCCTTCCCAACAGAAAGTGGGTGACAGAGATAAATTTGGAGACGTTTGCATGTATGTTTTTAATTTCAGGTGAAACTACTGGGCCATGGACAGCCACTTAACTGGATTTCTTTGGAGCAAAATGGCATTATGGTAGAACTGCCACAGCTAACCTTTCCTCAGATGCCTTGTAAATGGGGGTGGGCTCTAGCACTAACTAATGTGATCTAAAGTGCAGCAGAGTGGCTGATGCAGCAGTTATGTCTAAGACTAGGAACTATCAGGTGTCTATAATTGTAGGACATGGAGAAAGCAAATGTGCAATTGGTTAAGAAAAATAAAGTAATTATTTTGGCAATTCAGCCTTTTCCCTTTTCCCTGCTAAATTAATGTAACCATTTTAACTCGCCAGTGCACTTTATAACATTAAAGTCTCTTTACATTGATGTTTCCATATGTGACTCAGAGACGAGAATTTCTTCACGTTAGAGTAGCTAGGAATTGGTGGTATTGTGGACTGAACTGAAAATTTTATGTTGAAGCCATAACCCCCAACATGACTGTACAGTTATGAGTCACTTAACGAAGGGGATATTTTCAGGGAAACACAATGCTAGTCAATTCTTTGTTGTTGTTGTGCCAACATCATAGAGTGTATTTACACAAACCTAGATGGCATAGCCTATTACACACATAATCTGTATGCTATATTGACTATTGCTTTAGGCTACAGACATATATAGCATGTTACTGAGTACTGTAGGTAATTGTAACACAATGGTATTTGTGCATCTAACATATGGAAATATAGAGAAGGTACAGTGAAAATACTGTAAAAAATGGTGCACCTGTATAGGGCACTTAGCATGAATGGAGCTTACAGAGCTGGAAGTTGCTCTGGGTGAGTCAGTGAGTGAGTGGTGAGTGAATGTGAAGGCCTAGGACATTATTAAACACTACCATAGACTTTAGAAATACTGTTACACTACATTTATAAAACATGTTTTTCTTTAATAATAAATTTATGTAAGCTTACTGTAACTTTATAAACTTTTAAGCTTTTAAAACCTTTTTGGCTCTTTTGTAATAACACTTGGCTTATAACATAATCTCATTGTGCAAATATACAAAAATATTTTCTTTCTTTATATTCTTATTCTATAAGCTTTTTTCTACTTTTAAAATTTTTAAGTTTTTACTTTTACAGAAACATACACATTAGCCTAGGCCTAAACGGGTCAGGATTATCAATGTCCCTGTCTTCCACCTCTACATCTTGTCCTGCTTAGAAGGTTTTCAGGGGCAAATACCCATGGAGCTGTCATCTCCTATAATAACTCCTTCTAAAATATCTCCTGATGGACATGCCTTACGTTGTTTCACAGTTAACTTTTTTTTTTTTTAAGTAGGAGTACACTCTAAAATAATGACAAAATGTATAGTATAGCAATACATAAACCAGTAACTTAGCTGTTTATTATCAAGTATTGTGTACCTTATATCATTTTATGTGCTAGATTTTTATATGACTGGCAGCACAGTAGGTTTACACCAGCATCACCATAAACAACATGATTAACGTGTTGTGCTGCCTTATGATGGCTATAGTGTCACCAGGTGAAAGGAATTTTTAGCTCCATTATAATCGTGTGGCACCACCAATTTATATGCAGTCCACTATTGACTGAAAAGTTGTTATGCAGTACGTGGCTATATTAGGAAATAGGGATTTTAAAGAGGTAACTAAGGTTAAGTGAGGTGACAAGGGGGGGAACATAAAGCCAATAGGACTGATGTCCTTATAAGAAGGGGAAGACACACCAGGGATACAAGTGCACAGAGGGAAGGCCATATAAAGACAGCGAGAAGGTGCCATCTGCAAGTCAAGGACAGAAGTCTGAAGAAACCAAATCTGCTGACACCTTAATGTTGGATTTTCAGCTTCCAGAACTGTGAGAAAATAAATTTCTGTTGTTTAAGCTACTCAGGTTGTGTTTTCCATTCCCATTTGCTGCAATGTATGTTTATCAAAGGCTGAGTTTGTGACTGTAGTGGGTCAAATAGTTTATGTCCTTTGGAATGTCCCCAACAATTTATGTCCACCTGGAACCTCAAAATGTGTTCTCACTTGAAAGTTGTGTCTTTGCAGATGTAATAGGTAAGTATTAGATAAGGTCATATTGGATATGGGTAGGTTCTCAATCCAATGAGAGTATCCTTATAAATGACAGAAGAAGACACAGAGACAGAAGGTCATGTGATGACTAGGCAGATACTGAAGTTATGCTGCTGTAAGCCAGGGAATTTATGGGGCCATTTCAAACTGGAAGAGGCAAGAAGTACTGGAAAGATCTTCCATAGAGCTTTCAGAGGGAGCATGGGCCTGCTGACACCTTGATTTTGGATTTCTAGCCACCAGAAGTGTGAGAGAATAAATTTAAGCCACTTACTGAGTGGTAATTTGTTATAGCAGCTCTAGGAAACTGTAACAGTTACCAAACAAATTGATTATGCCAGTTGAACTTTTTATGATGATTGTATGAGCCAATGATGCAAGTGTGAAGAGGTGTAGTTTCTGTGAAAGCCAAGTTAAGTACTTTGGAGAGACTAAAGCTTGTTGACTTTAAAAATTAAAAAAATATATAAGCTATTAATTGTGGGTGAAACTGTTCTAAAAGATTGGGGGAAAATACAGTAAAAATTTTCAAAAATTCTGCACCTCTGGTTCACACTTATATAATGTAATGCATGTAATTTGTACAAGAAAGATAATTAGAGCCAGGTGCAGTAGCTCCAGCTTGTAATCCCAGCTACTTGAGAGGCTGAGGTGGGAGGATCTTGAGGCCAGGAATTCAAGAAAGACAAGTAGAGAACATCTGTCAGCAGACCTATATGGGAAGGCAGCTATGCTATGCCACTGTATCACCAACAGCCCAACTGAGCAGACCTACATTAAAAGGTTGGAAAAAACCTGGATCCTATAGTAAATAAGTGACAAATAAAGATATTTAAAGTTAAAATGTCTATATACATATTTATGAGACCCTGATTTAAATCACTTTTTAGATTAACCAAACAACTAAAGGTTTCTGATGAGAGGGCTCCTGCTATACTATTAGGAGGCAGATTTGTACTATCTAAGACCAATTGACCTTATTTTTTTATTTACTTATTTTTGGGGTACAGCATCTTGCTCTGTCACCCAGGCTGGAGTGCAGTGGTATGATCTCAGTTCACTGCAACCTCCACCTCCCGGGTTTAAGCAATTCTGCCTCAGCTTCCCAACTAGCTTTAAATACAAATGGTTTTTACCTTGTCATCTCTTCCACTGCCACAATTATACAGATGCATATGATTCCAGGTCATAATTTTCAGCTGATCAGATTTGTATCCTTACAAGGCCACACCTGTTTAGTTTCACATTTTCCCTGGATGAAATCCTGGGTTAATTTTGTTGGAAGAGATGTGTGCCCATTACGCACATATTCCTTACTTTCCCAAAATGCTATTTTTCATTAACCCTATTAAAAATGAGAATATCTCCATGTTTTGTCAACTTTTGAAAAGAGGCATTTTCCCTCCTCTTTACTTTTTTTCAGACAGGGTCTCACTCTGTCACTCAGGCTAGAGTGCAGTGGTGCAATCATAGCTCATGCAGCCTTACTGGGCTCAATTGATTCTCCCACCTCATCACCCCAAGTAGCTGGGACTATAGGCACACACCACCATGCCTGGCTAATTTTTTTGTAGAGACAGGGTTTCACCATGTTGCCCAGGCTGGACCATGACCTATTTTTTTTTTTGAGGTTTCAATATTTTGCTCATTTTTTTTTTCATTTATAGCATTTGAAGGGGAGGATCTAATTGCACACAAAATGGAAGACTCTAAAATGTACCCATTAAACTGCTAAAAAATAAATTGAGTGCTGAGAATACCATATTAAGTTCAATTTAGATTCTGAGTGTTGTCACCCTGTGATTACAATCACACAGACTCTTCCAAGCTTATAGCTGGAGCTCCTGGAAGCTTTTTTATACTCTAGTGCAAGGACAAAAAAAAAACACAACTCAGGAAGGAATTAAGTCCTGAATTATTGGCTTCATCACATCCACCCTCTCCACTCCCAAAATAGCACAAAAGAAACAGTGACCATACCCTGTAGATCTTTTGGTGTAAAAGAGGTGATGAAGAACTGGGGTGGGAACAGGTCATAATGATCTGTCTAAAAAAGGTCCCTTTTTGGGAAATTTGTACACACCACCAAGAAATGAGCCCCTCATCAATCAGGGTTAGGAAACTAAGGTTCAATTCTCAAGAAATCATAATTTCATTCATTTACTCCATATGAATTTACAGGGTGCCTATACATTATCAGTTTCCACTTGCAGCCATTTCTAGATAAAAAAGAAACCTGACATCTCTACAGGGGCCACCAAGTTCCCCAAGTCTACCACTGAAAGGACCTTTTTGGAACTAGGTTTCTTCTGTGCCTCTGAAACACCTTAAAGCTGAATCATCTTTAACCTGGAGGTCAAACCACATTCAGCAATACTTGCATCCCAGATATACAACATTAAAAGATACACTAAATTCTGAAGGTAGCTATGCTGCAAAATAAACAACTCAACAGCATTCATTTATGCTTGAAATTCCAGTCCTAGACAAACCTTGTGACCATCAGCACTTGACGTTCTTGCCACCCAGGAGAGCTGACAGTGTCAGCTGATACTGGCTTTAGGATTTGAGTGTATCCTAAACCTATCAGGCTGGAGTTGTTTATTTTAGTGGAGAAATGGGCTTCAGGGCCGATCTGATACTTGGCTGCTATACCAAAGTGAGTGTTACTGTTTTCTGCTATCCCAGCAAGACTGACAGCAGTCTCCAACTTCTTGCTCACCTTCTGGTAACTGGAGCCGCCAAACTCTGTCCCGCCATTCACATTAGTGTTAGGTTGGAATTCATCAGTTTTGTAGCCAACCACAAAGTTACTCTGGGTCACTCAGAACTTTGTGGTCTCAAAATTCACCTGGTAGCTGGCCAGCCAACCCTCATAACCCAGCACTAGAGCATCTCATAATGAATGCCCAGCCATGTTCAAATCCACGTCACAGCCCAGGTTAATGTGCTCCCACTTGTATCCTGTTTTGATTTTAGCATTTTTCCCCCAAGTGTTAGGGGAGAAGGATGAACACAAGGTCAGCTTCGGTCCATGTGCAAGCTGATCTTCCATGGTAATCTTGGTGCCTAGTGTGTGTCAGTGTTCCATTTCTTCATAAATGTCAGGCCATATTTGGTACGTCTGTACTTGCTTTCCAGACTGCCTGTCACTTTGGTGGTCTCAGTGTTGGCTGAGCCTGAGCTTATAAATTCTAATCCATTCTCAGATTTTGTTTCAAATCAGGTTATATTAAGCCAAATCCATATACCTTGGTGAAGACATGCTTGGCAGATTGGCGAAGATTAGCATATGTGGGTGGCACAGCAATCTTCTTCTGAGAGACAATGCCAGTGGGTTCAGAGGTGTCTATGGTGAGGGCTGCAGCTCCACTACCTATTTTTAAAAACATTCTAGACACACACTCCCTAGCATTCAGCTCCAGGCCTAACCAGGCCTTAGAAGAGAATTCATACTTTATTTTCTACCTTCTGCTGTTCAGCTGCATGTTACACTGGAGGAACATAAAACAATGTCACTGAAAATATATGTCCACATATTAATAATACATAATGATTTATTTACTTTTGCCTTAATTACCCTTCTAAATGAAGAATTACAGATGTATTACTAAAGACAATGAATTATTTTTTTCAAAAAGTAATGCTGTTTGCTTTTTCCTAAATGAACAAGTTAACAACAACAAAAAACACCAAGTACATGACCAATTAAAATGAAACTTAAACTAGAATGCTCTCTTTTCTGAAATAACAACAAAAATGTTATGGGATAAACAGCTGAAAAATATTAACTCAACAAAACCATATTTTACTAAAATAGTTTATTGCAATAAGATAGTCACTGTATTCAAAATCAATACAAAGTAAGTTATTAAAATTATGTACATACAAATGAATAAAACTATGTAATTAGGTAAGTAAACAGCATCAACACAATTTTAGCCTCTAAATCAATATATAACTTTCTAAGGCTTGTTAATAAAACCTTAAGAAATACAGTGAAGAAATAGCAAAGGAAAAATAGCTCATCATAGTTGTTAAAATTCAATGATTTCCATAAGAGCAAAAAGCCCCCATCAAAGTATATTTATGAGACAAATAATTTATTATTTTGAAGGGTAGCTGTAGAAAAGTCTGATTCACTTCTGTTTACAGCAGTCTAGGGAATTATGATTAAATAGCGTATTTTTCCAAACTTCACACATCCTAGACATATGTCCCCAACAGATTTTTCTTCAGTATTAATATGGTAAAGTACATGGCATTTCATATTTTATATATATATAAATATATATGTATTTATATATATATAAAATATATATGTATTTATATATATATAATATATATGTGTGTATGTGTATGTATATATATATATATATAGCTACATTGGTGTTTAGTCAGTTTGGAACTAATGTCCATGTGTAACAAATTATTAACAATTCTGATATTTGCACATGTGTACATATATATGTCCACAAAACCCGGCCTGTTGATGAATCTAAAAAAATATATTGAGATGCCAAATAAATTGATTTCATTATGAAATGAAGACTTTTATTAAGAATATATTTTTATCAGGCATTTTAAAACAAATTGTTACTCTAGGTATAGGTGATTTACCCAGTGTTTTTTAAAAAGTAAATGAATCGCACTGTAGTTTTTCTTGAAGGAAAAATCATTTCTCCAGTTGCAGAGGGGTACTAAAAGCTTCGTACACATTAGCAGCAAAGTCTTTCACTTGCTCCATTGTCAACAGATCCTAGCAAAGATGACAATATAACATTATAGTTTGCAAAAGGTATAGATAATTGGGAATTAATTTCTGCAATCAAGAAATGAATTCAGCTCTAAGTTTTGTGGTAAAGGCCAAGAAGCAAACCATTTAAGAAATTGAGTAGTTTTTCTGGTAATAAATTCTAAAAGATAGCTATTATATAGGTTCTTACATGAGGGATGGTGATATAAGCGTTCAAGTGTGACTTTGGGGAAAAAAAACAAATAGTCTTCAAATGAGTTTTTGTGTATGTTAAGTGCTAGATAAGTGTCTGTTGAATAAATATAAGAGTAAAGGTACTTTTGCTGGAAGCTGACATAACATGGTTAAGGGCATATTATTTTATGGAAGATCTAACATATGTATATTTGTAGTATGTATACATGCATACATGAACCACACATATACACTATAATGTAAGGGTTCTTAACACCCCAAGGGATTTGTGAATGTAAAGGTAAGAAAAAAAATCACATCTTCATTTTCATTAACTTCTAACCAAAAGTTCATCTCTCTTTCAACTATGAATGTAGGCAATAAATTATGATATTAGCAGATTGTATGACTGTCTTCAATAGAAATCATAGACATTTTCATATTATGTGACAGTTGCGGAAATTATCAGAATTCTCATTACATCTTGATTTAACGCATGAATAAAGAGGCAATATTGCTACATCATAAATTAAAAGAAACCTTGAAAACTATATATAATTGGTTTCCTTTATAATATTATCTATTTTATTGTATGCGCTTAAACATATTGTTCTGAGAAAGGGTCCATGACAGCAAAGGTTGAGAGCCTCTGAGGGTGTCAGAGAAATATGAAGTAAACCTGGCCCTTATGATCTCTGTTTCTTAAGTATCGGAAAATCCAAGTGAGGCTTAGGCATGTCCTAATCTCAGTCGATACATGGTTAAATGATCTCATCAGAGAATCTGATGTTATTTAGTTTCAAAGTATTCAGTCTAAATGTTCAATGAAACATAGGTTTAGATCAATGTTTCTCAAACCAGGATTTGCAGACATGCTTTCAGAGGCCCAAGAATTTGAGGGGAAATTTTGTGTTTTGATTTTTATGAATATGTAAAATAAAACTCAAACACATTCTGGATTATTTGAAAGATAAAACATATAACCTACTATTGTTCCCGATTTTAGGGCATTTGTTTATATTTATGTTCTTATTGGCTTTAAATAGTACCACTTTAAGTGTCTTGTGCTAATGAGAAAAGAACAGAGGCGGAAAATTTTTCAAATGAAGGCCAAATCATGTAAATCACATGATACAAATGAAGCTTTCGGAACAGTTACAGTAGATTAAAAAAAATACTAGCAAGTCAGCTTTAGAAAATGCAGGCTGAATGCTCAACAGCATGAACAGTAGCAGACAGGTCCACATTCACTTTGGCACAACAAATTATTAATAGTAGCCATCAGTCATAGTACAATCTGTTTTTCATAGTTTAGATTCTATTAACATAAGTGCTTTGGTTTTAAGTTACAAAAAAAGCTCTAATCTTAAGGAGCTTATAGAGTTTTTAATTTATAAACTAAAAATGATTTTAACCCTGGAGGGCTGTGATATATGTGTGTATATACGTGTGTGAGGTATATAGACAAATCCGAGAAACACCACCATTGTAGTGCAAAAGCAGCCATAAACAACACATAAACCAATGGGCATGTTGTCACCCAATACAACTTACAAAAGCTGGTGGCTGGCTGGATTTAGCTCATAGGTCATAGTTAATTTATATCAGCTTTATAATAAAGACTTCAGTCTGTTCAAATACTGTATCCTGATGCAGCTTCCAGGATGCTTTCAGTAGCCTGAGATAAAAATTACGTATCACAGGGGTGGTTCAGATTCATAAAAGCTTTTTCCTTATGTTATCTGAAAGCCACCCAAAATAATTTCTCTCCTGCTTATGTTATTTGAAAGCTATTTGAAAATAATTTGAAAAACTACCTCTCTCAATTGTTTTCTGATTTTCCCATTTACTAACTTTACCAACTATACTACCATACTAGTATCTTCTACCAGAAGGGTCAGCAAAGTATGGCCTGCAGGCCAAATCCACTGCTGCCTGTTTCTGTATATACGTTTTATGGAAACAGCCACACTCTTTTGTTCATGTATGTTTCTGACTGCTTTCACACTGCCAGAGCAGAGTGGAGTAGTTTCCGCAGAGAATGTGTATGTTACATAAAGCCTAAAACATGTACTGTCTGGCCCTGTAGTTTGCCAACCCCTGTTCTACAGCATTCCCACAATAGGCTTTCCTACATACCACTGAAGTTGAAGTAGTAGCAGTAATTCAAAAGGATTAATTTTATGTAAATTAACATTCTAATCAAGGCAAAGGCTTTACAAAAAGGTAAGTGGAAATAGTAGAGCATATGACAATTTATAAAGAGGACCACTTAGTATTTTAACTCATAGAAATTATGTTAAAAAATTAAACTATAATTGTAATAGCTTTGTCAATCAATGGTCTAGTATATACATTTAATATACATCCAGTTACACCAAAAAACTTTAGTAAACAGTATCAATGGTGTTTTGACTATACTGAAACATTTGTTTTTATTATCAAGTATATAGATTTTAATGAAAATGTAGTGCATAAAATTATTTAAGCATGAAGACTGATGATGTTTTATGCTTGGTTGTAATTTCCACTCATCTGTCAAAATGAACATCCTACTGGCCAAGCCAGGGACTTCTACAGAAGAGGACAAAAGTAAAGGTAAGGTTCAAATGCCCAAAGTTATGACCTTTTTCTCACACTGATATACATGTGAAGCTTAAAATTCAGTAAAATGAGATTAGCCTTATTCACTATTTCTTCTGCAATGAGTGCCCAGCTCTTACGGGTAAGAAAGATGACAAAAGTCTGAAGAGTCCAGTGAGGGAAAATGTGCATGTGAAGGACAAGCTGATTACACCCCAGTGAAAGGAAGAAACAGAACTCAGTCTCAGTGCTTTTCATGTTCCCAAGAGTAAAATGTCTATAGAGAGGATACACTGCATTGTCTGAGACAAGTCACACTAAGATGCCAGCTTTATGCTTAGGCCATAGGGTCTCTTCTCACTGTACGCTATTGCAGCAGTTTGCATTTGGTACTGCAAACAATTTTTTAACTTATAACACAGATTCCAAGTTTGCACATGACTCAGAAATTCAAAGTTATTTTGTTTATAATATCTGTCTTAGTGAATTACTCAACGAATTACTGAATTACTCAATGCATTCTAAATGGAAATGAAGAAAGAAGATGAAGTTATAAGTAGTCTGATAAAATGTTTAAATGACCCACTGTTTATGCAGCTGTTAGTGAGCATATTATTGATGCACTATTAACAGCTACATTTTATTAATCACTAAAACGTCTTACTTCTTCACAAATTTGTTTAGTTTTCCTTGCAATGTGTGGAACTGGATCCTTGATCTGCCTCAAGGCTCCATCTTCTCACTAGCACAGCTTAATGCAAAACATTTATGCTATATAAATTCAACTGACCACTGTAATATACCTGGACTAAAATGCAGTCCAGCAAGTGCTGGACTACAACATGGAGAAAGGCACTCAAACTTACCCATTTGCTATGATTCATTATCACTCTCATGGGACACTCTACATGTGGTTTCAAGTTCTGCATTTTTTGAAAAAAATATCTCAGCAGAGAATGTAACTTTATGTTACACAAACATGACCACCACCAAGAATACAATTTGTTTTTAATAACACTCCCAAGCTTTCTTCTTACCTGAACAAAATGACTAGGTGTTTCACTGCAAACTGAATGGATCTGTCCGTTTACTATCGGAATTATCTTAGCTAAAGGCAGGCTGACACTGGAAAGACTGAAAAATCATCACAGTAATGATTATTTTCTGAAATGACCTCACAGAAATTGAACATCTTAATTATAAAAGTAAAACATAGCCACTGAAACATATTTTTGGAACTCTATTAAAAAGGAAATAAAACACAATTCTATCACTTAGAAGTAACAACTCTAATTGACATCATGACCAACATCTTCTGGTTTTTTGTGTCTACCAAAAACCTCTAAACTCCTAAGCACACAGTTTTGCATTTTCATTGTTATGAGTATTTTCCATCTTATTAAAAGTTCCTCTAAAGTATTTGTCTGATTGTTTTTTAATGACTATAATCTGTCTGCTAGCCATGGCAATTTATATCATGAGCTCCCTAGAGTTAGGCATTTCTGTTTTTGCCTAAATTTTCTTAATATAAATAACTTTTTGTATAAACATGAAATCACTGGGTCAAAGGGTATGAATGTATCTGCTCCTTTATGCCTTCTTTCAACGTTTAACATTATCTTTTTCTTTAATCTTTCTACATCTGATAGGTGAAAATGGTATCTTATAGGTTGAATCTGCATTTCTCTTAGTTACTAACAATATCAGGTATTTCCCCCCACCATTATCTATCAGGGTGTATAAGCAGAAAATATGGCCATTATCCTTGGCACTTCTCTTGCCTATATCCAATCAGATATTCTAAAGATTTCTTGAAAGAAATCTTTCAATAATCTTAAAATCTTTTGAAAATCTTTGACACTTCTTTCTCTTACCTACATCAAAATAAAGCAGTGCCAAGGATACTCCCCATTGCCAAACAGATTCCAAGCTGAGCATTCTCTCTTGCCTGGACTACAGCAATAACTTCCTAACTTGTTAAAGCTCAATAAACATTTGTTGGATGCATAAATGAATACATGTATGTATCACTGTATGTATGTGATATAATGACTTAAACAAGACTCATTTTTGTGTTGGGCTTGTAGATTCAGTCTTATTACATTAACTATGACATCTCATACATTTCAACCTAGGGCAGCACTCAAAATTTCCTTTTAAATATTATATAAATGCTGAAACTAGGGTGTACAACCAATGTGCTATGCTGAGATTTGGGGCAACGCTTAAAAAAGAATAAAGGAAGTGGGGAGATTTATATATTCTTGAGGGAAGCAGGCATTATTTTTTTTCATGGTGTCTTCGTAGCATTTTTCAAAATCTATCATGATTTTGATTACTTGATTGCTTTCTCTCCCCCTCACTATCATGCAAGCTCCATGAGGTTAGATACCATGTCTATCTTATGCACTGTATAGTTCCAGCACATAGTAAAGGGTCTGGTGTACAGTGGACACCCAATACATACTTGTTGAATTGATTAATAAGTCTTCATTCATCCATTGCTGTGTACTGCCCCAATCCCTGTTTCCCCAGTTCCTTCTCCACAATGCAGTCAAACAAATCCTACAATGTAAATTCCATCACATCACTCTCCTGCTCAAAACTCTCCAGCAGCCTTCCAGTGTTCCCAGATGACAGCCACAAGAAAGAATGCAATTTGTATTTAGTAACACTCCCAAGCTCTTCACTGCAAACTGAATGGATCTGTCTCTGGATTTGTCTGACACCACTCTTTTCCTAGTTCTATGTGTTCAGCTACCACACCAACCTCTTTACAGGTCTTAAAATGTACTTTGGTTGTCCTGTGGCTTCAAAACCTTTGCCCTGTGGCTTCTGCCCAGAATGTCAACTGCCCCACTGCAGTCTAGGGCCATATTTAATAGCTTCCAATCTTAGTTCTGTTTAAATTATTTCCTTAGGAAAACTGCTTGACTGTCCACTTTTGTTTAAATTTTTCTGTTATATGTTCAGTGTTCTCCTCCTTTCTAACACTTCTCACAGTCTATACAATTATATTTACTATTTGCTCCACTAGATTGTAAGATCCATGGGGACAGAAACCTAGTACGGTACCTGATTCACAGCACATGTTCTATAAATCTTAGATGAACAGACAAATTGGCCATTTCCACCTGTTCTTTTTGTGAATTATCTGTGTCTTTGATGCAAATTTTCCTTCTAGGAAAGAAAATTTTTCTTTCCTTAGGTGTTTCCTTCCTTAATTGATGTGCAAAAGTTCTGTATATAATGCTATTACACTCATGTATGATATATATGTGTATATATATATATATATATATAGAGAGAGAGAGAGAGAGAGAGAGCGAGCAAATATTTCCCCCTATATATTTGCATTTAATATTGATGATAAAGCTTATAAAAGCTTGTTTGATCTATAAGTTAAAATATTATACAGTCAAACCTATCCTTTTCTTTATATAAAGTTCTTTAGTTTCATTCTTAGAAGTACCTTCTCCATCTTGAGGTCACGTAAAGATTCACCTGTTTTTGATCAGTTCATTTGTTTTTACTTGGTATATTTAAATGTTTAAACCTCCTGAATTTTATTAGTCATTGTAAAATGGCTAATTGTTATTAGTCTTACCAACATTTACTTAATAATAAATCTATTCCCCACAATCATTACTAATATCCTATATTTTTTAGAGTTACTTCTGGATTTTATATTCTATTCCACTGACTTATCTATTCTTTTATAAATAAAATTATTTAAATAATTATACCTTATATTACATATTATACAGGGAAAGCATATTCATTGCTCTTCTTTTCCAACAATTGTTTAAACATTATCACTCCATTATTCCTCTAGATTACCTTTATTATCATTTGTCAGGTGTAAAATGAAAAAAGCAACCATCCTCCAATTCCCAATAAAATTTTCATAGTATTTTGATTATATTTATAGATTAATTTTGGAAAGCTAATTTTACACTTTTTAGTTGATTCTCTTGAGTTTCTAAGTATAAAGTCTGTCACCTTCATATAACAACAGCTATTTCTTCTTCCTTTTCAAAATTGATATCATTTTTAAAGATTGCATGAGTTTAACTTAGAAAACCAACAGTCAACTAATAGTTTATTCAAATGGTAAGTACACTCAGTAAATTGTCTATTTTCCTTCTTTTTTTTACTGTCTAACAGTAAAAGTCACCTATTTTCAAGATATATTAAAAAATCAATAGCTTTCCTGAATTGGATCTCAACATTGGTCTTCTCCTAGCCTTACTACATTAGATAGAATAATAGAATGATGCTGAATAATCTGCCAATAGTGACCAATCTTACCATATTAGATAGAATAACAGAATAATGCCAAATAATATGTCAATAGTGACCATCTTTATACTGTTTTTGAATTTAATGGAAATCATTCTAGTTTTACTATGAAGTATATTTGCTTTTGATTTCAAACATTCTTTTTTATTTATTTTTTTAAGAGATAGGTCTTGTTCTGTCACTCAGACTAGAGTATGGTGGCATGATCATAGCTCACTGCAGCCTTGAACTCCAGGGTTCAAGCAATTCTCTTGGTAGTTTTTTAAATTTTTGTAGAGACAGGGGTCTTGCTATGTTGCCCAGGCTGGTCTTGAACTCCTAGCCTCAGGCAATCTTCCTGCCTTGGCCTCCCAAAGCATTGGGATTACAGATGTGAGCTATCACATCTGACTCAAGTATTATTTTATTATATAAAAACATATTTTTTATTTCTAGTAAGAGGTTTTATCCAAAATAAATGTTAAGTTTTATTGAATGTCTTTTCAGCAACACTGAAGATAATGTTTTTTATCTTATTAGCTTATTAATGTTATGGATTACCAAAATAGCTTTTCTAGTTTTAACCCTCCTTACATTCTTAAACCTTAATTAATCATAGTGTTGGAGAATAATTAAAAATTTGGAGAAAAATTAAAAATCTACCTGATATTAGATAGACATTATTGAACACTTGGCTTTACCACTTCCTAGCTGTTCGACTTGAAGTTATTTAATTTTTCTGTGTCTTAGTCTCCTCACCTGGAAAATGAAGAATACTAGTACATATTTCCTAGGATTATTTTAAGAATTCAATGAGATACATTCTGAAAAATACCTATCATCAAACTAGCACATGGAAAAAGTATTAGCTGCTATTATTATTGCTATGTATTTCTGGATTTTATTTGCACTTTTGACTTTTAAATATCCATTATACATTATATCATATGCATATGTAATACATACATGTTGTGTATATATTTTATATACATATAAATTAAAACCTTTATTAGTTTACATAATTTTTCAGTTGATTCTCTTCAGAGAATCATATTAATGATATGGCTTATTAATGATAATAATCATAACTAATGTACTTTGTGTCTTTGCCAATAATTAAAAACCTTACTTCTGTCTTTTTTTTTTTTTTTTTTTTTTTTTTTTTTTTTTTTTTTTTTTTTTTTTTTTTTTTTTTTTTTCTCTCTCTCTCACCCAGGCTGAAGTGCAGTAGCATGATCACAGCTTGTTGCAGCCTTGACTTCCTGGGCGATTCTCCCACCTCAGCCTTCCAATTAGCTGGGACTACCATGTGCTACCATGCCCAGCTACATTTTTATATTTTTTGTAGAGATGGGGTCTCTCCCTATGTTTCCCAGGCTGATCTTGAACTCATGGGCTTATGCGATCTGCCCACCTCAGCTTCCTAAAGTGCTGGGATTACATGCCTGAGCCATTTGTTTTTTCTTGACTTACTATGATGGCTAAAACTTTCACAACATATTAAACGATGATGATAATAGGCTCGATGGAAATGTTTCTAGCATTGAATCATGAAGCATGAAGTTGGTTATTCAAATGAAACAGAAAAACACATAGAAAATATCTGAGTGCCTTGTGTGAGTAAAGAAATATGAAAGGGCACAAGATAGTCTTTGACTTTTGAGAGGAAGCTTAAAATGTAACTGATGAATAAAACTCCAATTCACAGCACATGTAGGTTGTATATAAAAATGCGGATAATGGGTACTATAGTTCAGAAAAGAAACACTATCATGGCTGATGTGGTTGTAGTATAATTTTTACAATTCTTCAGTGTACAAAATCAAATATTTGTTTATGTTAAAATAACCATTACAATTATGTATCACCACTTGGGAAATAATGAATACCTTGCTATGTACAGATTATAGTGAAATTTTACTAATTGGAGCACCTTGATTTATACAGTATATGGGATTGGTTTTGAGCTAAAATTTATTTTTGTATAACTTAAAACATTTTTAAAACATTTTAGGGTGAGATTTAAATTACTTCAGAAAATAAATTTTATGGCTCTAAGCATTCCAAATGCTCAATGTCAATGTCAAATTATTCTTTTCTGTAAAATTAAAGAAGGGTCTCAGAGGATTAGGTAAATAACTTCTGGCCCTATGTATTTAAAGATTAAGTTGGATATTGCACATACATATTGCCTATCATTTACTGTGTCCACAATTTAAAAAAAACTGTTTTAAGCCACTTCCTATAGGAAGGACGTGTCTCAGATTTTAATGAATGAGTTTACAGTCAACATTGATTTAGTATCCATTATTTTCTGAGTTTGATATAAAAAACTGCAAAACAGAAATCCTTAAAGAATGCAAATTCTAACATGAGATCAAAGATACTCATGTTGGGATAATAAAGATATTAAAAAACTGTTTTTCCCATATGTTATGGCATACATAAGACCATGATTTAGTAATAGTTATAATTAAAATCACTAACAATTGCAATAGCTAAATATTTCTAATTCTATGATAAGGACTGGAAATAAATACATTTAAGTATTTGTAGAACTATAAGGGGCTAATTCATCAAATGAGAATCTATGCCAAAAATGCCCGGTTATTGTAAGGACCAAAGTATTGAATTGTGCAGACCAAAATGGCATGCAGTAATGGAATAACATTAGATAATGCATTAAAATTTAAGTACATTGTCAGTTTTATATTCTAAAGAGTTAAAAAAAAAAAACCCAATAATTAGAATTCAACTTATAGAAAGGTAATTTCACAACTTAAGTACTTCAATATAGTGGCAAAGTTTTTGGAACAATGCAAGTTTTAATACTGAAACGAACATTAGCTTCTGCTAATGAAGACATTGTTGGTTTAACAGAGTTTAATTTGTTAAAAAATGAGGCACTCAAATTTACTAGGTTTGTTGTTGTTATCTGGAACAAAAAGACAAGTGAAGCACCATTTTTTTTAGAGCATTCATTAGTATAACATTTTTATATGTCATCTTACCTATTCATAGAGTTACCATGTTGCAGGTCCTGTTCAGTAGGTCGAAAGAACTCAGCCATATTGTCTAGAAGTCTACTAAAACCTCGGTTTAAACAAGTATTCAAAACTGTACTAAAATCTGGGCTATATAAAATAAGAAGTATTAGTTACTTTTTAGATTCTCAATGGAAAACAAATTCAATAATAATGTGGCTACCTTTGAAAGCCACCAACATTTCTAGTCACAATCTAATACTGTAAAAATATATCAAGGAGTCTATCTTTAAAAAGTATTAAAAAATGAGCTCATTTAGCACAACATAACGAGACTATTCACCCAGTTCACTAGATTTTTTTTTATACTAATCAGTACTTTGTACAATGTATTTTTTTAAAAAATATCAATACTAGTACTACTAATTTTGAGGAAACTCTTGAATTCCCTTACAGTCATAGGTTATTGGTTGGCTTTACATCCTCTAGCACGATATTCCAATGAGATGGAAAATATTATTGTATACAGATGAGGAATTGATACTTGAGAGATGAAGAAACTTGAAGAAAAGTATGTGATTAGTAAATCGGGGAGCTTGAATATGAGACCAGGGCTTTTTGATCTTAATTATACTCTCTTAGTACCTCACAAAACTCTTTAATATAAAGAATAATATATAATGATGCTATGAAAGCTACAAAATATCTAGTTATAGTCAGGTTTCTTGACCAGAGTGTGCATGTGTATGTGTGTATCTGTCTACCTTTTCTCCTTAGTCATCTCTCTTTTTAAAAGCATTTTAATGGCTTTATTGAAGTCGGACTTAGAGGCCATAAAATCCACCCATTTTAAATGTACAAGTCAATGATTATTAGTAAATTTGCATACTTGTGCAACTATCACTACAACCCAATTTTAGAACATTTTCATCACCTGTTATGCACATTTCCAGTCAATCCTCATCTCACTCCTAGCCCCAGGTAACCACTAATCTACTTTTGGTCTGTATAGTTTTCTGGACATTTCATACAAACAGTCATACAATATTTGGTCTTTTGTGTCTGGTTTCTTTCAGTTAGCATAATGTTTTGAAGGTTCTTCTATACTGTAGCATGTATCAATGGCTTGTACCCCTTTGTTGCTACATAGGGCTCCATTGCATGAATACATCACATTTTACCCTTTTGTTAGTTAACAGAAATCTCAATTGTGTCTACTTTTGCCTATTGTGGATAATGCTGCTATGAAATTTCTGAACAAGTTTTTGTCTAGATATGTTTTCATTCTCTTGAGTAGATACCTAGGAGTGGAATTGCTGGTTTGCATGGTAAATTTAGGCTGAACCTTGTTCTCTTTTAAAGGTAATATGGTAAGGTTCTAAGAAGACAAAATGATTAAGGAGATAGAAGCTGAAGAAATGGAAACTGAAGAAAAGATTATCATAGTACCTACTTCCTAGGGTTGCTGTAAGGTTTGAGTGACTTAAGACAGGTAAAGCAGTATAGAACAGTGCTTGCTGCATAAGCACTCAAAAATGTTGATTTCTATTCTTCTTATTGAATTCATTTAGGCCAATGAAAGAATGAGAAATAGATAAACTTGCTTCCTATTTCACACACAGAAAAACAGAAGAAGAGAAAACTTCCACATACTTGTCCCACCCCATCTACCCACTTACATGCATCTGACCTATCCTCTGCCATCCCTCCTTGACTCCTAAATTATTATACTGCATATTGAATCTCATTCCTTTCTCCTATTCAAAGTTGTTTATTCTTAAAATTATCCTGCTTTCCGACATCAATTTATCCCTCTCCTTTCAATTCAGTAAATACTTGGAGTATCTACTCCATGCAGGGCACTGCTCTAAGTGCTCAAGATACACTGATGAACTAAACAGATAAAAATTACTCATCTCATGGAGTTTAGTAGAAGGTGTGTATAAAAAATGTTAAAGTCAAAATATACTGGCTTCCACATTCCCCTTAAATACTGCCCTATTTCTTGGAATCTCTTAAAGCAAAATGTTGAAACATGTCTATGCTTGGTCTCTGCTAAATTCTAATTATTTTCAATTAGGTTATCTCCACTGCTCCTCTGAAACTTCTCAACAAGATCACTCAACAACTCTATCTTGACACATCTGATGTTATTTCTGTCTTTATCTCCTTTGGCCTTTCAGAAGCATTAGTCCCAATTAATCATAGTCCCCTTGAAACACTATCTTCAATTCTCTTCCAAAATACCTCATTCTTTTGGTGTTTCTTTTCTTTCACTGGCAGCTCCTGCTCAGTCTCTTTTGCTGGCTCTTCCCCCAATCACAAACTCTAAATGTTGGAGTGCTCTATGACTCAGTTGTCTTCTAGTCTCTATCTGTTCCTATCCCCATGATTTAAATACCATATATAAAGTGATGACTCCCAAAGTTATATTTGTAAAATAACTCTTGAATTCCAGACTTGCATATTCAATTGCCAATAGGCATATCCACTTGGATATGCTTACCACTGTCAAAATATAAATGGCAATTCCTATTTCCTCGAATGCTCAGCCTCAATACCTCGGAGTCATCCTTGCCTCCTCTTTCATAACCCACATCAAAAAATTCTACAAGTACTACTGGTTCAACCTTAAACATAAATCTATTATTTAATCACTTGTTATTGCCACCATGGCTACCACCCAATCCAAGCTACCACTGTCTCTTGATTAGGCTACTTCAACTCTTGAAACTGGTTCCCTTCTTCTATTCTTATCTCTTTGTAGTCAACTAACCATAGAACAATGAGATCTTTTATAAACACAGATGATGTCATTGCCCTGCTTAAAACACTCCAATGGCTTCCTATACATTAAGAATAAAAAAACAAATTTCTTATCATGGACTACAAAGTTTGACACACTCTGGAGTTTCCATGTATCTCTCCAATCTCACATCCCTATTGCTTTTCTAATTCACTGTGCTCCAGCCAACAATGCCTCCTTGCTATTCCTTGAACAAGCCAAGCATTAGGATTCCTGCAACTGTTCTTCTGCCTTGAACTGTATTCTTCTGGGTTATAAGGTTCATTTCCACAGTAGATTCAGGTCTCTGCTCAAATGACGTCAACTCAAAGAAGCCTTTTCTGACCAACCTATTACAAACAGCATCCCTGGTCACTCTCTAACTCCTTAACCTTCTTTGTGTTTCATCAGCAAAGTTACAAATACTTGATATTATATCAGATTTATTAGTTTATTATTTTTCTCTCCCACTAACATACTTATTCCAGGAGGGATGAAGACCTAGCATTTAGAACAGTACCTAATATACCACAAACAGCCAATACATATTTGATTAATCATTGAATGAAATAAATGAACTAAGTAAATGAAAAAATTTTATTTCTATCTATGAAATGTAGAAATTTCAATCCAGACAAGCTCCTGAGGGTGGAGGGCTAGGGCTAGACATTTGGCTTTAACTACTAGCACGTTAAAGTAATGAGAGTACAAAACGTTGCTTGGGAGGCAGTTGCCAATGAAGTAAGAACAAATACCTGGGAAATACTGATGGCTTTTTTTGTTTTGTTTTGTTTAAGACAGGATCTTACTCTGTCGCCTAGGCTGGAATGCAGTGGTGCAATCATGGCTCACCACAGCCTCAACCTGCCAGGGCTCATGTGATCCTTCCACCTCAGCCTCCCAAGTAACTGGGACCACAGGTTTGCACCACTATGCCTAGCTAACTTTTTTTCTTTTGTTTAAGAGACGGGGTTTTGCCATCAAACCCAGGCTGGTCTTGAACTCCTAAGCTCAAGCAATCTACCTGCCTCGGCCACCCAAAGTGCTGGGATTACTGGCATGAGACACTGCGCCAGGTTGGAAACACTGATGTTTAAAGGGAAGACAAAGATAGAAAAATCTAAGAAATGATAGGAGAGGTGGGAGAAAAATTATACTATCATGAAAGTTATGTGAGCAAGAATGTCAATAAAGACAGTGTCAAATATCAGAGAAAGGTCACGTAAGATTAACATCACAGATTCACTGGAAATGGCAAAAGATTACTGATGACCTTCTGCAGAGCTTCATGAAATGATGTGGTGGAAATCTGAAAAGGGAAAAAAAGTCCACATTCCTACTTAGAAAAACAAAAGATAGAACTCAAATTCAGATAGTAGAGTTAGCAGCTGAGTTACACCCTAAGAAATCCCTGCTTCCCTCCAGTTTCAGTAGGAAATGCTATCTAAAGGCTGGGGAACAGTCAAAAATTTAATTTTAATATAATATTATACTGACTATGTCACTCAAGAAAAACTAAAAAAATGGTCTCAAGTACATTCAACATACGCACACATTTTTTCCTGTTATGTGAAGTATACATACCTTTCCAACATGTCTCTAGTTTCATTGAGAAGTTTAATAGTGGTAATGTCTCGAGGAGAAAGTCCACAGGCCTATAGAATTAAAATGTCACACTTCAGGTTTTTAAACATTAGCACAGCATCATGATGAAACTAATCACATTCATAAAATAAAGAATTTAGGAAATCTGAAAGTCTATGTTCTATCAACAATAAAAAAATTAGACTAAAAAATGCTGTGATGGTTTATGTGTGCAGATAAGTAGTATTTAAGACATGAGTAAAAGTAAAATTACACTTAGTAAGATCTTTGTTTATCTGGCCCTTCTTGGATAGATTTCTAGTATAGTTAAAGAAGAAATAGGTTTTGAGTTTACAGAGGTCTGAATTTGGTTTTAATTTAAATTTAATTTTATTATTATTATTATTTTAAGACAGGATCTCACTCTGTCATCCAGGCTGGAGTGCTGTGGCATGATCATAGCTCAGGCAACCTTGAACTACTGGGCTCAAGTGATCCTCCAGCCTCCTCTTCCTAAGTAGTAGCTAGGACTACAGGCATGGGCCACCATGCTAATTTTTAATATTTTTTTTTTTGTTTTTGGTAGGGATAGGGTCTTGTTATGTTTCCCAGGCTGGTCTTAAACTCCTGGCCTCAAGCCATCCTCTTGCCTTGGCCTCCCAAAGCATTTTTTTTAAGAGACAGAGCTCACTGTGTTGCCCAGGCTGGAATGCAATGGTGCAACCATAGCACACCACAGCCTCGAACTCTGAGCTTAAAAAATCTTCCCTCCTTAGCCTTCTGTGTAGCTGGGATTATAACCATGCACCACTATGCCCATCTGGCTGATTTTTAATTTTTTTTTTCCCCATTTATTGTATTGCATTTTAGGTTTTGGGGTACATGTGAAGAACATGCAAAATTGTTGCATAGGAACACACGTGGCAGCGTGATTGATTTTTAAATTTTTAATTTTTAGAGACAGAATTTTGCTTTGTTGCCCAGGCTGGTCATGAACTCCTGGACTCACGTGATCCTCCCACCTCAACCTAATTTTTTTTTCTTTTATCGGTAAGAGATTTTATCAGTATACATGTGTGTCTTTTTTCATCAATCTATTCTGAAACTCTATGTGTCCTTTCAATCTTAAATTTCAGGTTTTAATTCAGTTCAGTAAGATCTGGTCCATCATTTCTCTCTTCATCTGTTTCTTTGAATTGTTTTCTTTTTAGTTCTGTTTTGAATTCTGAAAACCATAAATTGCTTTAGAGTCCTAAAAAGATTTTTTAATACTCTTATTGTGTCTCCTTGAGATTCTATTTTGTAAGTTTTCTCCTATTTCATTAATTCTGTCCCATCTGTTCTGTTTGATCAGTTTAGTCTCTATCTTTCAAGTTACAGGGTTTCCTTAAATGGAATGCAACAATTTTTTTTTTTTTTTTTTTTGCCTACCCATGAATGTAGGATCTCTCAGCACCCAAACAGGTTCATCTTTAAGGTCTCTGGGAATGGAAAATCCTGCAGGCAATGAAAACAAGGCATTCTGTTCTAACAGTGCCTCTATGCTGAGGTATGGCATAGGGGTCTCTCTGTTCTAAGGCTTTTCCAGTTGTCAATTGAGAGCTGTTCTCCCAATTACAAATAATGGGTGCAAGCCAACAGACAAATGAATTTAGGAAATGAGCCATATAACCTGCAATCTGGCATTTTTATTATTCTTAATCAATGAATAACTTATATAACAACTACCCAGGATACACCAGTATTTGGCAACACCATAGTTGATAATTTTTGGATTAGACCTTGTTTCTCAAGTGGATGACTATAATGTCCTCAGTCCATTTTTGTACTGCCATCATTCACTTTTTTAAAATGCAAAGGTGATTGTGTTACTGGACTGGTTAAAATCTACCTTTCTTTGTCTACGAACTGGAGTTCAGACTCCTTATCTTGGCATACAAAGCTCTTTATAATCTTGCCCTGACCTTCAGCTCTATGTTCTGGTACTTGATCTGATAGAAAGCTATGTGTAGCCACACGAATAGAATTTGTATCTTCAGTTCCCCAAGTGTAATGAGCATGTCTTACTCATTTTACAACTCCAGCATACATCACACTGTCCACTGTTGCATACCTGATAATAAAAATGTACCAAATATCTAAAATTGTTATGTGCTTCTAACTAGAAATCAGTCATAATGGCAGTTTGTTTTCTAAATTAATGGGGTTTTATTTCAATTATTGAAATATATACCTTTCAATCACTTACCTTTCAAGAGACTCAGAAATCGAAATTTCAAGAGAGAGTAAAATTTTAAAAGTATAGAGTAACTGTTTTGATTAAATGGTTATGAATTAAGCACCTGCACTGCTAATGGAGTTTCTTCATCTGGCATCATATAATGGCATAATAAAGATTTGGATCCATCTTTATTAATCCAAGAAGAAGACTTATGCTGTTCAACGAGATTTCTGATTTCTTTTAGTTTTTGCTCCAAGTCCAAAAGGGACAAAGAATGTTTAAGAGAAACACTAGAAACAGAGAAAAGGGAATTGGGATAAATTGAAACTATACAACACATCCTATATACACTCTTTTTTTAACAGACTACTATCTAAAATCCTGTTTCTTCTGCTCACACCTGTAACTGCTGACTGGGATAGAATGGATTAAGAAATCAGCCACCAGTTAAGGGCCATTGCTACAGAGCCAAGAAAAATATTTCTGTGGATTTCATAAGAGAATTCCTACTATAATTATAGAATTACTAGTATAAGTAGGAGGTAAAAGCCTCAGAGGCAGATTTCAAAGTAGGTCTCTAATATTGCTGATTTCTATGGAAATCAATCAAGAAACAATGAAATATTAAAACTTTCCCCTCTGTATACAAAGGTTGACACTGATGAAGAAAATGGATCCCACAAGGCAATATCCCAGGTTGGTATCTGATTAGATTACAAAGAGTTTCACAAACCACCATTTGTCAAGTCACTGACTTCACTAGAATAATTCTAATTTTCTTTCATTCATCAGAATCAGGAAGTCAGAAAAGTCAAAGAAAAATGCCTTACCATCCTAAAATCTTCTGCACAGCTTGTTTAATGACAGTGATCAATTCTGTCAGGCCTATTAAAGAAAAAGCAAACTCAAAAGGCTTGCTTAGTTTAAAAATTCCTCAATACTACAAATAAATGAATTAAAATTAGCATAAAAGTCACAAATAAGAATCTTACCATCTCCAAGAAGGTGTTGAATACTTGATAAATATTGCTGTTGGACATCTGGGGGAGCAAGAATTGTCTGTACAAAACAGAAATAAGGTTAAATTATCCAAATTTTAAACTAGTAAATAAGTAATGTTTTCAATATAACTTTAGCTGAGATTTTTCAAGATCCTAAATGATGGGAAAATAATATTTTTTAATACACCAAAAATTCTAGTTTCAAAGTATAAAAATTATTCATAATACTAAAAGTTCACAATCACATGAAATATAAAAATATTTATTTCACAGAAATTGGTATCAGGATAAATAAGTTAAACTTTGAACCTCTTGAGGGAAAAGACAATGTCTATTTCATAAGAGAATTCTTAAAGTCTATTAAACTTACAGTGCCATTTTTGCCAACTGCTGCATTATCCAGGTAAATGTATCCACCAATTATGTTTAATTGGACTCGCAAAAGAACAACCAGCATACAGGTACTGTATACAGCCACGATACTTCTTGTGAAACCTTCATAGAGAAAAGAAAACCATTTGGTACTGTGATTAATATACATGTGTGAAATCATGAACCATTGCTATCGTTATTTTTTCATAAGATGACTTTTGAAAACATATTTATAACTGTTTCAGGCATAAAAATATATCAATTCAGAATATTTCACAGTCTCTCCTTTTTAATAAAAATTAGGTATGATCCCTTAATTGAAACAATAACCAATAAAATATATTAGGTGAAAGAGGTATGTATTATCAGCTTAGAAAGGAAAACAAGGAAAAGTCTAGGAAGCACAAAGCATTGCAGCTTCAGAACTCTTACTTGTCAACAGAGCTATTTTCGAGTAAGAGAAGAGGACTGAGTGTGGAAGAACTCTAGCCTTCAATGGCAGCTTGAGGAGGATAAGTCTGTGTAAGGAATGGAGAAAGGTACAGAAAGACTAGGGAAGCTTGGTAAAACTGGCTTCTCAGTAGCCTAGGACAGACTGTTCAAAACAGAGGAGAGAGTGAAGGTATTGACTGCTGCCCAGAGTTCTAGCAGGAAGAAAATGCAGAGCAGATTTGGCAACACAGAACTTGTTACTGATGCTTGAGAGATCTGCTTGGGTGGAGACACAGGTGTGGAACCAGGCTGTAGTGCATCAAAGCATGAGTGGGAGTGACGAGAAGAAAGGGAATGTAGAAATCTTGGTCATGGTCATAAGGATTATGAAAAAGTATAAAAGCTGAAAGGAAATACAGGGAACTAGAGACATTTAATTTGTTTTCAAATAGGCAAGGCTTAAGCATCATTCTGTTGACAAGGATTAGTTGAATGGATGGGAAAATGAGAATAACAGGTAGTATGAAGTTTTGAGACAAGCAGATATGTAGAACCTGGTTTAGGTTTTTGTTTCAATTTTTTATTACTAACAAAAGCTTTCAATACAATATCAAAGTAAATTTACTAACTGGATTGGAATAAAAACTTCCTTTAAAGTACATTAGAGATATCAGTACCTAATAAAGACATATGTAGTCTAGGACAATTTTACCTACCATCATCATAACAATAGCATTACCACTAATATTTACTGAATGCTTTCTATGACCAGACATTGATCTACTTGCTTTACCCATATTATTTTATTTAATCCTAACAACAATTCTAAAAGGCAGGTAAAGAAGAGTTATCCTAATAGAATGCAAAAAATTTCCCTTTATAAATATTTCATGGATGTGCTGTCACACAGAATATGCAGGCTTACTTATTATCTTCAGATCCTCCCATATTTCCAGCTTGTTTGAAGGCCTAAAGAGCAAAATAAAAAAAAAAAAAAGAAAATAATCTAGATAATCTAATAGAAGACTCTGAACTTTATAGATGTAGATTTTTTAATTAAAAATAGCACAATTGCAGAAAAGCAAGCGCACAAAATACAGTTAAAAAAAAAAATTGTAATTCCAGTAATCAATAACAACCACTTTCACTAGTATATATTCTTACAATCTTTTTCTTGAGTGTTATGTATACATGTATTATAAAATCATAAAGGAAAAGCAGAGGAAATGTTTCTTTCTTTCCCTAACTTGCTGTTTTAGAAATAATGAAGTAGGTCCTATAATCCTTCGAAGGTAAATATGAAGTTTTTTTGTTTTATGATCATAAACACATGAATTTACACATATATTTCACATATTTCACGTTTCAATCCACTGCAGTTATTATCTCTATCGATGTTCAAATTACCCATCTTTCACTTCTGGAAGACTATTTACATTGGCTCCTGAATCCTTTTGATTTATATAATCTTTCATTAGTCTTTTATAACTTTCACAGTTTCTGACATGAAAACTTGTTCTGGGTTCATCTTGTTCAATTCTTACTGCAGACTTGAAATCACCAATTTCACTGGGTCCTGGTTTCTAATAGCAGGAAATTGTAGAGACCAAAACCCTTGATTAAGAATGTTTCTTGCTACAGAATAGGTCATTATTTCTAAGATTTTTTCCAGTTAACTAAGCTAATAAATAAGTATTTGTTTATTTATATGTGCATATAATAAAAAAGGTAATATACACCATGAATTCATACTGATATTTCTAAATTTGGCAAAATTTTAAAAACTGGTCTAAAATTAATCAAAGGGTTTTTTAACTGAATCTTATTGATCTTGCATTGGTATTTCTTTTTTCCCACATTAAAAATAAGTGAAACCAACATAATTACTAATTTGCTTCATCCTTCACTCTATACACAACAGTCTCAGTGTAACAACAGCAATATTGAAAAGAGTTTAAAGTTTCTGTTTTTCCAATTCTTTGTGTGTAAAGAGTATATATCCTACTAAGGAGATACAGTCAAATTTCTGTTTTAAAGCAATTTAGCACAGTTTCTGTCTTTGTAGTTATACTACCAACTAGAATCATATTTAGATTAATTTGATTTATGGTGCTATATATTTTTTAAACATTATAGTTTTATAATTACATCAAATATTTATATGGTTCCCAAATCAAGTTTATACAATACAGTATATTCAAAGAAGTCTGTTCCTAACTCCCTTTATTTTCTCCCTTCTTCATAGGTGACTATTTAAAAAATGCTTCCACTTTCCATCGTTTTGCTTTATATAAACGAATATACACACACACACACACACACACACACACACACACATTTATATCTGCCCCTTAGATAAGTGAAAAATATTACACACATTTTTCTTTATCTTTTAAAAAAATATAGCAATATATCTTGTGGAGATCATTCCATAGTACTACAGTAGTCCCCTCTTATTCTTGAGGGATACTTTCCAAGACCCTCAGTAGATGCCCGAAACTAAAGATAGTACCAACCCCTACATACACTATATTTTATCCTCTATATAGGTACCTATGATAAAGTTTAATTCATAAACTAGGCAAAGTAAAAAAATTAACAACAATAACTCACAATAAAATAACACAAATGTAATATGCCAGCATCATTACTCTTGCACTTTGGGGCCATTATTAAATAAAATAAGAGTTTCTTAAACACAAGTAGCTGCGATACCTCAAAAATCTGATGGTCAAGATGGCTACTAAGTGACTAACAAACAGATAGCATCTACAGCATGGATCTGCTGGATGAAGGGAGATTTCGTCATGTTATTCACCATGGCACACAACTGAAAGCTTAGGAATTATTTATTTCTGGATTTTTCCATTTAATAGTTTTGGACCAATCATGGCTAACTGAAGCCTTGGAAAGTGAAAACATGGATAAGGTGGGAGGGACTACTGTATACAGATCGTAGCCACTTTTCTATTCTAACTAAAGTATAGTATCCCATTGCACAGATGTATTATGCGGATGCAGTTTAGTGCTTTTCAAACCATTAGTGGAAGGATCAGTATTTTTTCCTTTTTTTTCCCCGTCTGTCACAGACCAGTACTTATGTTAAATACAATAAAAATACAGTACTAGAAAACATAAAAGCCACAGATATAAAAAAAATACAAGTCCATATTCTTTATTATAATTTTCAGACATAAATTTGCATTCCAGTAAGAAATTGAGTTATTATTACAATTGTAAGGATACTACTAGCTTCTTGTCTTTCTTTGCCAATGAGCAGACTCTAGAGTTTTAGTCATCTCCTTCCTACAGGTTCAGAAAATGTGTTGAGTAACTTATGCAAGACATTTATTCACCCTTAATCTAATCTAGTGTTCAGGGCACATGGTAGAATGCCATATGTATTCTGATTAAACTGGGAATCAACCACAATTCAAAGGTGAAGTATTTAATGTATCATAAGTAAATCATATCTCTTTTTGAATGTTCTGTCAGAAAAATTTCTAAGTAATTCTTATAAAAATTCTAAATGAAAAAAGAAAACAGTGGTTCCAAAAATTCAATATAGAAAGTACTCAGTAGTGAGCCATGATTGTGTCACTGCACTCCAGCTTAGGCAACAGAGTAAGACTCTGTCAAAAAACAAACAAACAAGAACCAAAAATAAGCGGAAAAAAAAAAAAAAAAAAAAAAAAATTAAACTTT